CCGAGGGTGGCCGCGCAGGAGCCGGTGGTGGTGCCCCATCTGCAGAGAGGAGAGGCGGGCGGTGAGCTGGAGGTGGCTCCTTGGAGTGCCCCTGGGCAGAGCCCTGTCCCCCAGCTGCCCTCGGGATGGACACTGGTGCATCCAGCCCCAAGGCGGTGGGGCCTGGGGTTGCTGCCAGGCTGTCCCTGCCCTGCTCCCAGGGCCAGGGCTGGGGGGAAGGCAGCTGGGCTCTGGGGCTCTTACTGCAGCTTGGCGATGACCAGTTCCTCCGGGAGCAGGAGAAGGCGCCTCTTGCTCCTGCTGCGGCCCCAGGTCAGCCGCACATCTGCGCTCAGCAGCGGCTGGGGGGGCCACCCGGGAGCCGCAGCAGCAGCTGGCCTGGCCCATCCCGCCCGGTTCAGGAGGGCCCTCGCCGGGGACCGAGGACGTGTCCTGGTCGGCAACAGTGAGGATGGGGAGCGGGGTGCCGGTCCCTGTGCTGGGTCAGCGCTGCTCGGCCAGAGCCTGCCTCCTCCCAGCGCCGCTGAGAGCCAGCCCAGCTCCGTGCTGCTGTCTTGGGTGGCTGTTGGCTCCAACTGACCAAGATGGCATCCCCAACGGAAAGTGGGAGGGTCCTGGGGGGCACTGGACTGAAGGTTCTCTGCAGTGTGGCCATGCCCCTCTCGCCCTGGGGAGCCCAGAGCAGGCCACAGCAGAGGGAAAGGACCACCTCCCTCCACCTGCTGGCAGTGCCCCTTGCCTCAGGCTTCACCGCTGGTTCCTGGCCTCCGACTACACTTGGTGCCACTGGTCGCCACTCTCAGGGCCCGGCCGCTCAGCCGCTTCTCCTTCCACCTCCCTCTCTGCTCAGTCATTCCATGCTTCTTCATCGTCTCCATGAGGTTATTTTGGCTGACAGTGTGAATCGCCTTCCTGAATCTAGGTGGACAATGACCACTGCTCTCCCCTCACCTCCCAGTCCAGTCACTTCACCATATAATGTTATCATGTTGGGCAAGCAGGGTTTCCCTTGCTGAATCCATCCTGACTCTTAGTTCTAATCACCTTCCTGTCCTTCATGTTTCCAGAATATTCTATGGCATTCCTAGCACTTCCATGAACATAGGACCCTATTTTCTTTTCAGATATAATAACAAGTTCATGGTACCTGGTCATCTAACACTGTTACATAAATGCTTGTGTGCTTGGCCTTAATTTTGGGTGGTTTTTTTCAATCTGCTCTAGGAATATGGCTGTTAACGCTGCAACAAACATTTAACAAGATGTGAAAGCTCTGTCCTCATTAGTCTAAACAAGAGAGGAGAAGCAGCAGATGCATACAGAGCGGGCACTGCTCAACAATGTGAAGTTAATTTGAGGTTGGCTGAAGGGAGCCTTTGGCAGCCAGCTGACATACTAAAGGGCATTGCTGTGAACCAGCGCGTGCAAGCTCTCAGACACATTGCATTGCATTTTGCTGCAGTGTGCTTCATTGGAATCTGATTTTGAAACACCCCAAAAAGCCATGGTCAACTGGAATAGAAATTTAAGTTCAACCTGTCATTTTATCCGTTTTAAACCTGAATTCACCTTGTGCTTGAGAGCATATGTCCCTAAGGTATAATCACAGCACCCACTACGATAATGTTCATCCAGGGCATTTTTTCCTTGCAGGCTTGCTCTAGTATCACCCACATTTTACAGAAAGGGAACAGAGATACAGGGGGAGACTTGCTCAACTTCAGAGTAGACTGGTGCAGTAGAAATGGCAAAAGCACAGAAACAATGTGGAAAAGATGGGTCTGGTCTAAACAGGAAGGACTTGAATGACGGTGATATTACAAGTACTTAGAGCAAGTCTAAAATGAATACACGGTGTCAAGACTAGTTACATTATCTCTTCTTTTTATTCTTAATGGCGGCAATGATGTGTCTTGAAAATAGAATTACTCTGACCTTAAACATTGCACAGTACTTCAGATACACTATAGTTGATATTTTCCTTAGGGATTTTTAACTTTTGATTATTATTCCTTACACTTTCTCATCTCCTCTTTACCCCTCTCAGTTTATCTGCCATTTATTTATGACACTACCCACCTCTGAGCAGTCAGAATGTCTCCTCTGAGCAATATTCCCAAAGTAAATTCCACTGAGGTTTAAGAGTATACCTCTTCCTTAATCTAGCCACAACTGCCTCTCTTTATTACAGGAAGCTCCGAATACAGTCACTATTTTCAGACAAGCTCATGAACCCTAAGAGGCTGCATGCAGCATTATGTACAAAACCATCAGAACAGACAGCCTCTTCCACCCGTGTGTTATTTAGCTTGGGGCAGGTTGAAGTCAGTCTGGTACACAAGGCTCTGCAACATGCCACAGTTCTCTCCAGCAGAACAGGACTTCCCAAGGAGTACCCAGGGCTAGCAAGCGGTGTTGCACATAACTGTCTGGTACACAGCTGGTAAAGAAAACCCATTTTTGCTGAAAAGAACCAAAGATACAGGCCTCAGTGGTAAGGTGCTTTGAGTTGCCCTGCGAGGCACTACATCCTTCCATCGGCAACGGTCCAGAGCCTACAGTGGTAGGCTCTTACCCTCAGACCCTTCGTAAGACTACAGAGGCTTGAATACAGACTCCAGATCCAAGCTGCAAGACTGAAACTGCCTCTGCTCACTAGGGTAGATCTGTCTCAGATGAGGATGATATAGCAAAAATCCTGTGTGAAAAAAGATAAAAGCACATGAAAACTACGTGGCCCAGGAAGGAGAAAAATGAGAAAGGCCCTCTGTAATGCTACAGACAAGACCACTGTGGCAGTGTGGAGCGGCTGAGAAAAAACATACATTTTAAATTTGTTCCTTGGCATATGTGTGGTTCTTATTCAGTCCTACTGTGCGGGACACACCTATAGGGTGAGAATATGACTGTTTGAAGGATACAAATCCTGAGGAACTTGGGTGTGATTCCTGCAGCTCCTTCTCAACTACCGTGCTTCTTGAGCTTTGCCACTCTCTCTCTTCAGAGAAAAGCATCTGCAAAAAGGGGCAACATTACTTAACCTTCTGTTTCTCTTCAAGCCCATCAGCAAGCATGATTAATGGTCTGAGGGGAGAAAATCCTTCTTAGTGTGGGTCC